AACAGAGCCTGGAAGAGTGAGGGTTGCTGTTAGGCTTCGACCGAGAAATCTCGAGGACCGCAGTTCGGATTCTGATTACGCAGACAGTGTTGAGTTGCAGCCAGAGGTGATTTGAAGTGTGACATTTTCCCAGAATTATGATGATTGATTCTTAAAGCATATTTATTTAATAATCTAATAAATTAAAAGTATCGATTTTCTCTCTATGTATAATGTAGCTGAAGCGGCTAAAGTTGAGAAAGAACAATTGGAGTTCTGAGTCTTATAGATTTGATGAAGTTTTTACTGAAACAGCCTCCCAAAATCGTGTTTATCAAGTAGTGGCAAAACCTGTAGTTGAGGTGAGTGGCCCAGTATATATATTCATGTAAGGTGTTGAAATGCTCAATGTATCGTTCTATTGCACCTGTCTGGATATCTTTATTTGATTGGTCAATTTCAAGCCAATGTTTACTTCTGTAATTATCGCAGAAGAAATTTATCTTTAAAATTTTTGGATGACATGTTAATAATGTACATTCAATTTTGTTATTCTTTTGCAGAGTGTATTGAATGGATATAATGGGACAGTTATGGCCTATGGCCAAACCGGTACCGGGAAAACTTACACAGTTGGCAGTCTGGGTAAAGATGACCCATCTGAGCGTGGTATTATGGTTAGAGCTTTGGAGGACATAATTTCGAATACAGCTCCAGCTAATGATATCGTGGAAGTTTCCTACTTGCAGGTAGCAATCTATGGTACATCAACATTTCCTTATGTGTTTTGTGTTTGTTGTTCTTTCATATGAACTTCTTAGAGAGTTTGATAATCCACTATGGTCAGGGTTTTGTGTCAAAGTTCAGGGCTAACTTTATTGTTGAAGTGCTAGATTTCCACCATTAGCATGGTTTTGTTCACTGCTCCATGTAAAATCTTAATTGAAACTTTTCATTTCTTGAGTTGAACGCTACACTGCTAAAAACAAAAAAAGTTTTGGAATTCAGTAGAACTTTGCAAGTCTTAATAACAACTTCGGAAAGTACTGGTGAACCTGGAGGTGTAAGCTATAATTTCATGGATTTGACCACGGGTCTAGTTAACAATGTGTGCAGTTTAAGGCCCATCGCATCAACTTGTCAACTTATAGTATGAGACTACGATGAGGTATTACTATCAGGAAGGTGTGAACTTCCACCATCTCTTGTAGAACTCTGTCCTTCTTATCCAGTAGAAGAAGAATGGCTGAAAATATAGTTGTTTTCAGTCAAACCCTTGTCTTTATATATTGTTTGCAGTTTAAATGCCTGCCATATCTTTCAATAACTATTTTGAACATAAACTTATATTTTCTCAGTTGGTACTTGTTACAAAATTCTAAAGATTACTTGTCATATGATCCCTTATATGTTGAAGTAGATAGTCATGTTACTACCACATGTTGGGTGATTGCTCATTTATTAAGAACTGTGTTTGTTGCTCCAGTTGTACATGGAATCTATTCAAGATTTGCTTGCACCAGAAAAGACTAATATTCCTATTAGTGAGGATCCCAAGACCGGTGAAGTGTCACTTCCTGGTGCTTCAGTTGTAAGAGTTAAAGATCTTGATCACTTTTTACAACTTCTGCAAATTGGGGAGGCAAACCGTCATGCAGCTAACACGAAGCTGAATATGGAATCTTCACGTAGCCATGCGATTCTCATGGTGGGTCTGTTGTATAATTTTGGGTTGTTAATTAATGCTTGCTTTCAAACTTGTAGACATTGTTTCTTTGAATAACAGTGATCTGGACTTATTCATTATTTGAATCTTTTATGTTTACAGGTTTTTATTCGCAGAGCTGTGCAAGAGAATGCTGTAGATGAGATGATTTCTCAAGAAAAAGCCTCTAGGGCTGATTTACCTGGTAGAAATAGTGTACCTATAGTTCGAAGAAGCAAGTTGCTGATTGTTGATCTTGCTGGATCTGAAAGAATAGATAAATCTGGTTTGTCGTCCGATACTGTACACCTGAAGTAGTACTTTAAGCTCTCATTTCCCACCCCCCTTGTTTTTCCTTTATTAAAAGATATTGGCATTTTTTAAATTATTTATGA